CTAATGCCTAAATTAACTTATTGATCTTTCTTTATTATGTACTTTTAGACTCACTTATTATTATTTGACTTGAATCTACCCATTGAGTGAACATTAATTCTGAGATGCATGTATATCTAGCTGATGAGTTTCAAATAGGATAAAACACTCATTTTGGATTCCATTACTAACCCCTATCCATCTTTGTTTATATCATTCTAGATATTTCTATTTCATCATAATAGAAATGAATTTCCAATTCATAGTTTATTTATGCTTTAATGATTTACTTCATGCAAACTGATTTTATCATCAACTTATCTAAACCTTAACATTCAGTATAGTTTTTAACTATACCATAGAATGATTCTTATCCCTTTTTAAGTCTACTTTTATATTGTCATGTATGCTCGTTTTATTATTCATATTCATCAACTAGTACCTTATTTCATATTTCACTTTATTCATAATGTTGAAGGGTTTTGATATTGTCTTACGAAAACCATTTTTTTTTTTTTAAATTGTATTTCATTTGATGCATAATAAGTAGTAAGTGAAATGAAATTTCCGTCTATTTCCGTCTGTCAATAACACCATTATTTATCATTAACAATAGTGTCCATCTGTCATTATGATTTATCATAATAATAATAATAATAATAATAGGTGATCAAATTCTAGCTCTCTCTTTCTCATATTGGATACTTATATCATACCTATATTTATATATCTACCTATCTAAGTCTAGTGTTAAAGGATAAAACTCATCTGTGTATGTTAAACACTGGAAGATACATACAAAATGTGGTAGTAAATGTAAGTAGATTATATTCGTTAAAGGTTGGTCTTAAATGAGGTTTCATTGGAAATCAGAGAGTATTGGACTACTGTTTTATCCTAGTATAAAATACATTCAAGGGAATGTTCATTTACAATGTTGATAGGGATTAAACACAGGATATTCATGTTCATATGTATTCATTTCGAGGTTATATTTGTAAGGTCTTATATTATGTAATACAGTATACATTATTAGATGGTGGTTGGAGGTAGTCGATAGGATACCCTCGACCCAGTTTTCGTGCTACTTGACACTTATCAGCAAGGTGTACCTGTAATCTTGAGGGAACTAGTGCTCCGTGACGGATTCGATCCCGTGTCACCCAGCTTTACAATTAGAGACGTTACCTTTGAGTTATCCGGGCCGTGACCGACCACCTGTAGGACTGAGATGTAATCACAATTGATTGATCAATGGGTGGTGATCAATGTCATGTGTGTCAAGTTCTTATCAATCGAGTCACCTAGACTGGTGTCCACATTGCAACATCGTCGATAGCATTCTATCTGCACTAATAATAAGGACCTGACACGCATGACATTAATCACCACCCAGTGATCAATCAGTTGTGACAGTATCCATTATTGACATATGCCTTATTTTTGCTTAGAAAAAACTATTACGTTTACTAAATACGAACTTTCGTCTAAATTTGAATGAATAGTTTCACAATATTTGGGCGCCGAGTTAATGTGAGACATTAAACAGGAAGAATGTTGTATTTATAAAATCTCAGTTAAAGAATATGAAGTAAATCCAACGTTTCGCCTGGCAATCTGGCTCAATCTTTTTCAAGGAAAATATAATCAAACAATAAAATTATCGAATATATATAGGTACATGGTTCTCTGGTTTACTGTATACCGAATAATTCATCCAATCAACGTGAACAATGTTTAAAGTAGGTATTTACGTAAGTGTGTAATAGATATGTGGTTTGAAACGAGTTGGTTAAGCGCCTGGAGCGAGACTGATAGGTCCTGGGTTCGAATCTTGCTGGTGGGGGCGGGATCGTGGATGCGTACTGCTGAGGAGTTCCATACTAGGACAAAACGGCCGTCTTGTGCTTCCAGGTTTTCCATGGTGGTCTAGCTTCAATTGACTCATGATTTCAACCAGTGAAATATTCAGATAAGATAACTAATTGGAATCGTTGAATGTATTATCTATTGATTAGTTAATATGATGTAGATAGATAGAATGGAATAAGAAGTTCAAGTTTACTTATTAATCATTAGTTGCCATGGGACAGCTAGTTGTATTTCATCTCTCCTATTATTACTGTTTGGATTAGCCAATATACGTGGGGCTTTAGCTGCTAGTCGTTCTTTATAAAAATTAAAGTCTTTTTGAATGATTCTTGCGCCATTGAAATCAATTGTATGACCCGATTCTATCGAGTGTAATGCTGTCACTGATTTGTTCTCAAGTTTTCTTACATCATCTGAGGATTTGGGAATGTGCTTTACGCACAGTTTGTGTTCCTTCATCCTCACATTTAGTTGCCTTGATGTTTCACCTACATATTAGGTTTACTTATATATTTTACAATGATTTGTTTCAATTCATTTTGTATTGTTTGTTTGAATCGTTCCATTGATGTGCATCCTGTGGTGGATTGCTTCTATATTGCCTTAATTCACAAGCATTATAAGCAAGGTTAGATGGTGGCTAATAGTGGAATCCACAACGCATGTTTCGTCAGCTGGATGTACCTGCATCCCAGGGTTATTGATCACCGCTGGACTCGAACCCAATACCGTTCACTTCAGTTTATTGAATAACGAGTAAATGAATATTATTAAAAGGAGTGTTTCCTTCTTTCTAACTAGTACTAGTCTATATATTCTTGAAAAATATGGTATTTATTGACAAAATTTATAAGAATTTTTATCTTGTGTAGCCAACTAGTTGATTCATAGTAGTTTAAACGTTGATACTTTCCCATTAAAGTTAGAGTTCAATAATAAAACAGTATGTATATGCAAACACATTCACCAGGCTAACTTGAAATGACACAGATATTAGTTGTTTATAATCATTAGAAACAACATCCTAAATCCAGATTTCCTATCAATTAATATTCTTCGGCAGATCTTGTGGTACAACTTAACAAACCAATAGTTTGATCTAGAAGTTAAGCGTTCGAGCGCGAGATCGAAGGCCCTGAGTTCGAATTCCACGAGTGAGATAGTGAATGTGCACTGCTGAGGAGATCCATAGTAGAACGAAACGACCGTCTAGTGCTTCCGGGTTTTCAATGTTTGTCTAACATCAATCGATTCATGATCTCAATCAAAAACTCAATAATCTCCACAACACCATACTGATACTTTGACAGAAGTTAACGCTTTTGATTGTATTCATTAGGCATTTAAGCCTAGAGTTTAGAACAAAGGTTTTTAGTATTCATAGGGTTTACTGAACAAAAAGATAGCAAATGTTTTTTGATTTGGGAGAAGAATTCCATGCCCTGTTGTTAATAGTAACGGTTAATATACACTTTGTACATAGTATTCGTGAAATATCACATTTTCCTCCCGAGTAATATTATACGTAGAGTGGATTAGACGTAAATGAATTTATTCAATATAGTAATATACAAGCTACTTGATAAACTCCCTTGAAATGTATCTCTTAGATGATATTTTCATTTCACATACAGTCAGTTAGATGGTACTCGTCATCATACCAATCAGAAACATCATAATACTACTGAGATGGTGGAGTAGATTTGTAACTCAGATGGATGAATTTGATGAAGTTTTGTTCTCTGAGCTGGATGGTTTAGTTATGGAGCTTTCATCGTCCTACTGAAAAACATCATCAGCTCAAACTTCAGGTAGTCTTATTCTATACTATAAATCTTCTATAATAATTGGTGTTAACACATATATCCAAACCGTGATTATTACATAATCAATTATGACCACTCATTTTTTTTAATTACGTAAATTCTTGATCACTTTAAATGCTGATTCTATTCATTACATATAAAATGTATGGATTCTCATGTATCCGTCGGTTCTTTTAAAACTATAGGTAGAAGGAAGAACTGTACAGCCGTTTCATCCTAGTATGGGACTCATCAGCATTAAGCATCCATGATCTCAAACACAGGACTTAAACCCAGGACCTTTAGTCACATGCACGAACTCTTGCACTTTAGATCATTGTGCCGGCATCTAATGAAGTTAATGTCTAACTTCAATTGTTCCATGATCTTACTCAACCCTTTATTCATAGTCCATGGTAGATAACTACCTTACACACAACATGAATTTGACTCCACTGGTTACGGCTTCTCACTAGAACTCCAGGAAATATCTCTTACAGACAGTCAATAGTGAGCGGAGCTGCATCATGAATGCTTACTGCTGAGAAGTCCCATAAGAGAATGAAGCAGCCGTCTACTGCTTTCAGGTTTTTCATGGTTATCTAGCTTCAATTGACTCATGAATTCAACCCCTTCTGATAATAATCATCTGCTCTATAGTGACTGATTTCAAGATGCGTTTCCTGAAGTTCTAGTAAGAAATAGTGACCAGTGGAGTTCAACCAGGTCCGTTGTGAGGTATCAGCTCACTAAAGATAATGGTGTACGATGGCGCAATTTCGTGGATTGTTTGAAGTTAGACACTAACACCGTTGTATACCGGCCGGCTCAATATTCTAATGGTTAAGCGGTCGCTCTCGAGACTAATAGGTCCTGGATTCAAATCTCGTGAAGTGTTATCATGAATCTCATATTAGAACGAAACGGCCATCCAATACTTCCAGGTTTTCCATGGTGGACACATGATTTCAACCAGTGAAATTACTAGAATCTCCACAAAATCCCTTCTGATATTAAATTTTTACTACAATCTCTATAAAACCTCACTTTGATTATAAATATAATACATTATTTCTTACAACTATAACATACTAAATATATACATATTTACTTAACCACGTTGATTATTATTTAAAATCTTTTGTTGCCATGGCAATTTAAACAACAACATGAACAACAAAAACAAATAAAGAAAAAGAAATCTCCTAGAAATTATTCAATTTTTGAACATCTTTTCTTATGTAATTCAACAAGTTTTATTTTTTTTTGTTTTTATTTATCTTCATTATATTACCATAGGGATTTGAACATAATTAATATATATATGCAATAACATATTTTCTTTTATCCTATAATAATAATAATAATAATAATAATAATAATAGTAACCATCCATAATGTAATACGAGTTAAGTTGTAAACGTTTTGTGGTGATGTATACATCTATTACATACTATGGATACGTGATAATATTATTCTCTATAGATGGTGTTCAAAATTGAATTTGATTACAATTACCTTTGTTTGTTTTATTTCTTTCCGTTGTTGTTGTTGTTGTTGTTGTTGTTGTTGTTGTTGTTGTTGTTGCTGCTGCTGCTGCTGCTGCTGCTGCTGCTTTTATCTCGGTTTTATTCTATTCAAAGTAAAATCGATTGAAACAAACATTTTTTCTTATTTTAAAAGAAAGAATAAACCAATAAACAATGATATTAGTGAAAATGTAGTGAACAAGGACACAAATGGGGACAATCGAACGTATTTGAGCATATAATTATAGAGCATCTTAATAAAATCTGAGAACCAGATAGTAAAACTTGACTGTTCCTGTTGCAAACATCAATCGATTGTCTCAGATTTCATTATTCATGTGTTTTCATATTAATTTTGTTCTGTTCTCGTTCTTTCTACATCGAACTTCTACTGAAATATATTTTATGCTTGACCACCGTTATGTACTACTTGTTTGGATATAAGTAACCCACAGCACAAAAGTAGTGAATAAAGATTCATTTGGTATTAGTTTACTTAAATCTTTTTATTAATGATTAAGATTGCAATTGATCAATATGTTATTGGTATATATATGCAACCTATGGCGGATTACCTTGATATTGTTTAAAGTCACAAGCATTATAGGCAAAGATGAATAGTGGCTGGCAGTGAGATACAGGGTGCACGTTTCATCCTATTTGGTACTTGTCAACTAGATGTACCTGTATTTTAGAATTGATTTTCAATCTGGACTCAAACCCAGTATCGCTCACTCCAATCTTACTTACTTACTTACGTCTGTTACTCCTTGTGAAGGAGAATAGGCCTCTTACTAGCACTTTCCAACTAACTCTGTTCTAGGTAATTCTTTCCAGCGATTTGCAGTTCTTATTCAGTCTTTACATATTTGCTTCTCTTTGCCGACGTCATTTGTTCTTTGAACTTTCACATTTCCACTTCCTTTCAGGATTTCAAGTTAGAGCTTGCTTCGTTAGGCAGCTTGGTGATTTCCATAATGTATATCCTATCCATTTCTATTGACTTTTCGTAATTTCCTCTTCAGCTAGAAGCTGGTTAGGTCTCTTTCACAAAAGGCTTTTGCTGATGGTATCCGGCCAATGGATGTTGAGTATCTTGAGTAGACAGCTATTTATAAATACTTGTACTTTCTTGATGGTGGTTGTAGTAGTTCTCCACGTTTCATCTCTGTACAGTAGAACTAACTGTCTTGACGTTCGTATTGAAGATTGTGACTTTGATATTGGTTGACATTTGTTTTGAGTTTTATATGTTCTTCAATTGTAGGAATGTTGTCCCTGCTTCGCCGATCTTCGCCTTTTCACTTCAAGCACCATCGCGTTATCCACTTAGTTACTGAGTTCTGATAACTAATTGCTTGTGCAATGAGGTGAAGTTTAAATTCCTTTTGTGTTCTTTACTTGAATCTTCCCATTGATGATTAGGACTGTAATTGATCAGTCTCTTATTGACATATATGCATACTGTGCGCGTGTTGCCTGTGAGATGGAACGACATCTAGCTGACGATTTCTAGGTAGGACGAAACACGCTTCCTAGATTCCATTACTAACCACTATCTATCTTTACTTATAAATTAGTGGTTTATTGTTAAAAATATAATGGTATATACATTATTGTTAATTTTCTTAACTTAATATATAAATTAATGTAATTTAATTATTGAATTCATGGGTCACTTGAAGCTAGACAAGCATGAAAAACGTAGAAGCACTGGATGGCCTTTTCGTCCTAGTATGTGACTCCTCAGCAGTGCGCATCCCAGGACCTATCAGTCTTACGCGCAAACGCTTAACCTCTAGACCACTTATCCGGTAAGCATCTAACGGTGTTCATGAAATTGATCAACACATCTATTATTGTATTCAATCAGTTATTATTTCACAATAGATCTGGTTGAACTTCACGGATCACTACTTCTCATTAAAACTCTAGGAAATACTTTATGAAGCCAATCACTAATGAATATCTATTATTTAATATAATGATGAATTATTTATTTTAAAATACTAAACAAAAAATGATTATGTCAATAAACAAGAATCATATTTTTTTTAAAAAATACTGCCTAGATTTTGGATAATTAATTTCTATATTACTGTCAATCCAATTGATAGTGTCTTCAATACTTCACTTTACTATGCGATATATATATATACCTTTATATTATAATGTTAGATAGTCCTTTTTGAGTATTATATAGTAAGTAGGTATTTTGAATATTGATAGTAGTATGATGAGTAGTATTTGATAGAAACACACATAGAGGAAAGAATAAAAGAAATAATAAGTAGAGAATTTGATGAACACTTACAATGTACAATATATCTAATAGTAGAAATAAATGAAAATAATTAATGTATGAAAGACTAGAAAAATATAATAATTTAAATGAGTTCATTAAGCCAAGTTTTTAATATGTTACATATAATCAATTTACATTCACACATTGTCATTTATTGTTAGCGTACGTAAGAAGTTCTACATGGTTGCTAACTGACTGACTGACTGTCGTTAGCGAACCATTTTAAGTTGTTTTCTGTGAGTTCTTATTTATTCGTTTATTTATTTGAACACATAAATATTGGTACAAAAGGAAAACGAATACATATGCGCAACACAAGTCACTTGATTTGTTTGTGGATTATGATACTACCCGGGTGCTTACACCGAAGCAGGAGGTTTTCTTAAGAGAGAACACCTAGGACCTTCGATTTAAAGGTCTGATCCATATGGCAGTAAAGCATCGTCATGAGATGTAGTTCCATGATAGCCGGTGGCCTACAATTGGTCCATACACCATTTGTACCTTCAGGATCCTTAAGCCTATGTGCACCATTGGTTTAGAATTAGGATTTTCCAACTCCTCTAGGTGGACTTTCCGTGTTCACCAATCGGGTTAAAGTGCTAAAAATTCGATTTTCGTCCTCGTAATTTCGTAAATGACACCCACGCCGCGAAAAGGCAGTAAGTAGGACTTCCCTGTCAGTGGTTAAATACGCGTAGCCATCTGGAAGCATTTATTATTATTATTATTGGCTTTATTCACCATTATGTTTTTGGTACAATATAGAATTCTCAGCACAAAGTATTTCAACAAGTTTCCCTTTCTTATTTCTTGAACAGTTCCTTGCGATAAATATTGAGTGGTCACCAGTTAGATGTTAGTGGTTCAAGAATCAACATCTGATAAATGTATATCCTTTTCGATCCATATTGCCAGTAACCATGATGTCTCTGATTGAGCTGTTTTGTAACTTGTACAGCGAAATGTTGTAAACTTTTCACAAACGCACCTGAATAGATTATGAGACTAATAGACAGAATATTGTGTTAAAACAAACAAAAAGCAACAGATAACTTGTTGAAATATCCAGATGTCAGGAACAAGTGGCCCAGATATTCAAGCAGGCAGCCGAGAGCTTACTCCCCCCGCACTCTTGGCCGTACTAGTGCATTTGGAGGAACAATATATCTCTTTTAACAAGACCAGAATATAAGTTTCAACCTAGATTAAATAATCTAAACATGTATTATTTAAAATCATTTGTTCATTGTTTCAACATTGTATGGATGTATGACAGACACTATCCTGATAATTTACTTTCAAGACTACTTACATGAAGTTTATTTATTTACCCTTTCGAGTAATATTTTATAAAGTGTCAATTTGTTTCATTATTTAAAGGTAAACATGTAGTTTGCTCTACGTTGATGGTTAGTTAAACATTAATAACATTGTTGCTCATCTGTAACTAAATATAGTTAGATATTTATATCTATCTATCTATCTATCTATCTATCTATCCACACATCTATCTATCTATCTATCTATCTATCTATCTATCTATCTATCCACACATCTATCTATCTATCTATCTATCTATCTATCTATCTATCTATCTATCTATCTATCTATCTATCTATCTATCTATCTATCTATCTATCTATCTATCTATCTATCTATCTATCTATCTATCTATCTATCTATCTATCTATCTATCTATCTATCTATCTATATATATATATATATATATATATATATATATATATATATAACCATTTCCGTAGGAAATAAAGTAGACAGTCCCTATCTCTTATCTTTACTTTTACATAGAGTTTTACTTTGGTCGGTTTAATTCCTAAACTATGAAAACTTTATCACTTACTCCTCCCCCAATTTCATAAAATGAAAGAAAAAATAAATAAATAAATAAACTAGTCATTTAATAGAATCAATCAAATATATTTACTTTGATAAGATAATGTTATTGTTTTGGTGTTTTCCCGATTTCCGACATCCAACTGTGTTTCATAAATATACAATCTATTGGTTAGAATAACTAATAACTATTGGAAACTGGAGAAAAATTTTTCTCTATATAGATTTATATTTGTCTATTAATGACATAAGAGTTTGTCATTTCTCAATGTTGGTTAACAATCTCTAGGACACCCGTATATTGATAATTAGTTGTGGCAAACTAGTGATTAATTTCATGAGTTCATTCTTAGAGCTCTATTGAACAGCAGTAAACGATGAGATTTAACTATGCCAGTCTGAGGGATAAGCCCACTTAATTTATTTAGAACTGTTTGGAGAGTACCACAAATACATCAAAGTTGTGTGATTGTAGAGTACTTGGTATGAGATCAGAAGGTCTTCAGTTTCTTTAATAATAAGGTCGTGAACCGTACTACAAAAAAGTTTTGCATCAGGAAGAAAGAAATATTTAATGCTTTTTGATGGAGTTTTGTTCTCTGAGGTGGATGGTTTGGTCGCGGAGCTTTCATCGTTCTTCTGAATGACATCATCAGTAAAAACTTCAGATAGAAGTTTAATGCTTCGTGATATAGAATATGAAGTTTAACAGTCTGTCACTCGTTTTGAAAATAAACAAGAATTTTTAAGTCAGGATAATTCAATGTGTTAAATGTCCGATATGAAAAATACGTCTAAATGAATTGTTTTCAAACAATTGAATACCACTCGCGCGCGAGATTGAGAGGTCCTGGGTTCAAATCTCAAGAGGCAGGATCATGGATGCGCACTGATGAGGAGTCCCACAATAGGACGACTTGGCCGTCCAGTACTTTCGTGTTTTCCATGATGGTCTAGCTTCAACTGATTCATAATCTCAACCATTGATTAACAAGCAATTCAATATAGAAAGAGATGGAAGACGTCAGTAATAGCGTTTGGATATAAACATTCAGGAGATTCGTACGTTATTTGTTGAAAATATACATTATATCAGTTTTACGACTACTGCTATTTTATTTTAAAATGTTGATTTTAGATTGTGTTTTGCAAGATATGAAAGATCATTGGATTCTGTATTGAGAATCATTCTGGTTGTATTTAACTAATGAGTTCAAGTTTAGAATAAAATCACTTTTAAATACATCATCGTTTTCAATGGCTTTACAGCTTTGAGATTTGTAGCTCAGGTGGATGATTTTGATGAAATTTTGTTCTCTGAACTAGATGGTTTAGTCATGGAGTTTTCATTGTTTTTCTGAACAACATTATCAGCAAAAACTTTAGATAGAAGGCTTTACGACTTATATGAGTCATTTAATAGTTGAATTTATGAGTTAATTAAAGCGATACCACCATGAAAAACCTGGAAACCTGAGATGATTGTTTCATCCTAATATGAAACTCTTCATCAGTGAGATCGCGAGATTCGAACCAAGGACCTTCAGTTTGGCTCATGAGCTTTAATTAACCCACGAACTCAACTATTAAATTAGTAAAATCCTCACAAAACCCCCTTCAAATTATATGAATCAATTGAGAAGAGTTTAAATCCTATTGAACTGATAAGTTTGTCATTTTTTTTTTAGTTAAAATAAACTTAATTTCATAGTATATTTACAATTTATCATTAAACTGAATTTACCTGGATATCATTTTCTTTTTATGGCGGCCTGTTTGAATATTTGGGATATCTGTCCCTGCTATCTAGATATTTCAACAAGTTATCTAATTTTGCTTGTATTAATACATCATTATGGCTATTAATCGCATAACCTATTCAGATGCGTTTCATTGTACAAGCTACAAAAGGCTGAATCAGAAATATTTTAGTTGCTGGCAATATACATCAAAAAGAATGTGCATTATTCAGATGTTGATTAGTTGAACTGATAACTTCTAACTGGCGATCATTCAATATTTATCGTTAAGAATCGACCAAGAAGTAAGTAACGGAAACTTGTTGAAATTTCTTGGTGCTGAGAACTTTATATTGTACCAAAAACTATAATACCGAATAAAGCCATTAATAATAATAATAATAATAATAATAATAATAATAATAATAACCAGATTGCTAGGCGAAACGTTGGATTTACTTTAAATTCTTTCGCTGAGATTTTACAAATACAACATTATTCCTCTTTAATGTCTCACATCAACTCGGTGCCCAATTAATTTAGATAAGAGTACTTACTTATTATTCTGCAATCGAAGGATATTATTTTCAATGAATTTCTCATCAGTTACTCTACAATTAACTCTTATCCAAATAATTAATCCATAAAATTGGCCAGATTTAAAGTAAAGTACAACATGTAAAATTGTAATATGTACATTAAGGATTTCACTAGTTGAAATCATGAGTCAATTGAAGCTAGACCACTATGGAAAATCTGGAAGCAGTGAACGGCCGTTAGTTAAATATTAACACCGTTGAATACCAGCTCACTGATTTAGTGATTAAGCGCTCGCATGCGAGACTGATAGGTCCTGGGTTTGAATCTCGTGGGGAGGGGGCAGGATCATGGATGCGCACTACTGAAAAGTCCCATACTAGGACGAAACGACCGTCCAGTGCTTCCGTGTTTTCCATGGTAGTCTAGCTTTAATTGACTTATGATTTCAACTATTAAAATTACTAAAATCTCCACAAAACCCCTTCTGATACAAATCAAGGATTGTTGTTTGTTATATCAAATCAAATCAAATCAAATCGTTCATATTGGGGCTGACCAATATGAAGTTATTGACTTGAATCAGTTTATAAGTGAAATGAAATTGTGAGATAAATAATGATCAGAATAAATATGGTCAACATGAGGTGAGAGAGAGAGAGAGAATAATATAATTACAAATAGAAGATTCAGTAATATGTAGAATAATATAAATCAGGCAACAAATAGTAGATAGGGGTGGATACCGAATAAATTTCTTAAAACGGTTGTCAAGTGTAATAATAATAATAATAATAATAAGTTTGGGACATAAAAATGAACATTCACTAAATTACGTCATCATATTATAAAGTTGTTTATTAACTAGTTGGCCCCGAAGTTGGCCAGGGTAAATTGTGTTAATATAATGGGAATTTTTTCAGTGATTTGCATTAAATGCTTTTTTTTTTGTTTTTCAGAATAATTGAAGTAACTATGACTAATTGAACTTACATTTGTTGCATAATCGCTTTTCGTTAGAAAAGAAAAAAAAACTATATACAGGTGTAAACATGTTACTGAATGAAACTAGTCTAAGTTCTAACTACCATCTGTCTAGAAAATTCACCTTTTTTTTGTTGTTCTTGTTGTTGTTATCTGTATTCTTTCATTTGATCAGATAGTTTAGTTGCATAAGGCTTTTATAGATAAAAAAATATTACCCATATCACTTTACACCGATTTATGATTAATTAATGAACTAGAAAGGAAGACCCAGAACACAGTAGGTTGGAGTATACTGGTCGGCAACTTATGCTTCTGCTATATTTGAAACGATTACGAGTTTACCTAGTCTACGAATTGAACAAAGACTCTGTGAGCAAAGACCAATAAGCGAGTTATTCTGATGCATACCAGCCATGCTAACTATAGTGAGAAGTCCAACTTTGAAACGGGGAAATAAATTCCGCATGCAGCCAGAAGCATGAGCAATCACGACAGGCACAAATCAAACAATATATACAGCATAAAATTGTCATTGGGAGGAGTTACAAAATAGCATCACAATTGATTGATCACTGGGTGGTGATCTATGTCACGTGCTTCAAGTTCTTATTAGTACAGATCGAATGCTACCGACCATGTTGTAATGTGACCACCAGTCTA